TTTGATTATATAGTGAGGAAGTCTTTCCTAAAACTTCTTCCATAGACCTCCCTTCATGACCCTTTGTCCAGAATAGGAGCACAGCCCTTACCTCTGAAACCTGTTGCTGATAAAGGGGAACGTGACAACCTGAGCAAAATCAGGACTTCCCAGCAGGAAAGAAAGGGAGAAGGGCTGTTCAGTAGGAACTCAGCAGTATCTGTGACATAAGCTACGCTAAAGAGTATTCTTTGGACAACAGGACACTCATTACGAAAGGTTTTAGATCATATTTGTGTTTCAGGAAAAAAAAAGTCATCATCAAACACCTGTGATAAGGTGTGAGGTAACAGATTATTCTTACACTTGCCTGAAACCACGTAAGTTGATCGCAGAGTTGAACTACATTTCAGGTCCCCAGCATCTTCCCATGTTACCTGCATTCCATTTTCTATTTATATATTTATATGCTGTTGATGGTTGTGTGTTTATCTTTTAAATGAAACATTTTAAAAAATGCCATCAAGTAGTTTTCCCTGGTTGGGGTGATTGGGTATATAACATGCACATACACATAGACACACAACTATCATCCACATAGGCTGTGGTAAATGCTAAAAGAAAGGCCCAGCAAGCATGATGTGGCAAGCACCTGGGAAAAGCTGTGAGAAGATCTGTAATGGGCAGCGAAGAATGGCGTAGATGGGGCAGATCCTTCTAGATGAAGGAAACAAAAAGAGAGGCAGAAAAGGCAGGGAGTGCCAAGGTGCCCTGTACGGATAGAGCATAGACATGGGGGAAGGACATTGGAAATAAAGCCATGAATGGATCACAAAGAGGCAGGCACAAGAAGAGAATGGAGATCACACATGTTGGTGCCTGACTTGAGTAGGCACTATGTCAGGGTCCGGATGAGGCAGAGGGGATTGTATCCCTATTCTTCTTAGGAGGAACTGGGGCTCAAGATTACTTGCCTGAGGACCCACTGCTAAGGTTGAGTCTACATTTGAAACCAAGTCTGTCTTAACTGGGAAATTCGTCTATTATTCCAAATAGTCTTCCATTGTATCATTCCATCATGTGTAAAACATTAGCATTTGACTTTTAGTCTCAGGTGGTATTCAGGGGTTCTGAGCAGGAGTGAACATTCCAGAAGTGCTCAGCAGGGAAGTGGGATGGGAGCATTGTGGAGGCTGAATGGCTACCATGCCACTCTGCAGACTGTCTTCTGTAATGTCTCACACTCAGACAGTGGAGCCACTAAATGATTCTGTTGTCAGGCCTGTATTTGCTGTATTTTCCATGGAAATCAAATTCTGTACCCAGTTTTGTGCCTCCCTAACTGCCTTCTCCTTTCCGGTGGTAGTTCTTGAGTTCCTCTTGGGCTTATTCCTCTTTATTGAACATCTCACTCCTATAGCTGGCGCTTATTCAGATCAGACTAACTCTGCCCTAACTGCTAATTCGCCAAGAGGTTTCTCAATCCATAACATCTCCTGGACATAGCTAGTTCTTCTATTATAATTGCCATGATGAACTTGGAGAGAAAAAGATGTTCTGTCTACCAACCCTGGACTTCCTATTTACCCGAATCATCTCTAGAATAGGATGCAAACAAGAAAAATATAGAATGCCTGGTCTTCATACCTTAAAAACACATCTGGAACTGTTTGAACTAACTAAAAGTAAAATAAGTGCTATGGTAGACTATGCCATACCTTTTCTTTTTACTTAAAAAAACAAAAAAGGAAATGGAAAACATACCACTTCTAGAAGGCCTTGACACTGAATTGGATATTGAAATGGTATCAGTAATGTATTTATATATGCCACATTTTCTTCCATGTTTCAGCCATCTTTGGTACATATGTGTTGGATATTTGCCAGGTGAGTTGAAATGTTACCACATAGGGGAGATCTTTATTTAGAAGTGGTGTGAATCCTTAAGGTAGAAGTAAAGTCAATCCTTTTGATTATACATTACCTTCCCGCTCTGATAGAGATGGTTTTTCTTTCTTTCTTTTTTTTCTTTTTTATCATTTTGTGTCAATCTTTCAATAAATGTCAGCATTCCCCTGCAGCAACTAAAAATAGAAATTATGTCTAAGAACAGTATAATTTTCATAAACTTAAAAAATTGCATAAGAAATATTCTAACTTAATACTGGTTTTACTGTATCCTCTAATTTGAAGTGGAGTGAAATACTTATGTGGTTGAATCATAGCTCTTTTGCTGTTTGCTATAAAAGTTTCAAGAATATATATTTCAAAATTTTTTTTTTTTTTTTTTAGTAATCCAAAACAAATGCAACAGAACTCAGCATACTTGAAACACATTTTCTGAATTTATCTTAAATCTCTCTACTCCAGAGGGTTTGTGTGTATGTGTGTATGAGTTAGGCCTGGCTGGTTACTTCACCATCGATCCCCATCCTGGATTGATTGCACTGAACAGCACAGAATGAGTTACATATGGTCCCACTTTGTCTGAGTTTGTAGGACCTCTGGGTTGGAACTCCATTTGATCAGAGTGAAGCTAACCATCACAGAAATCTGGCTAAAGTCAAAATCCTAAATATATGCACGTATACATATATTCTGGTTAGAATGTATATATTTCATGTTAGAAGCACTGGTGTTTTTTGCTATTTATTGGCTCAGTGATTATTGTTCTTAAAGTATCAGTGTCATTTCAAGGATCTTAAAAAAAAAAAATCACTCATCTGCCTTTTGTTGTTGTTGTTGTTACTATTATTAAGATCATCTTAAGTTTGAAGAGGAAACCCCGTTGTCAATGTTATAGTTCATTTCCTTTTTTCTTAGCGTCAGCAAACAGAGTAAAGAAACACAGAGATTAAGATATGGTTTCCAGTTTAGGTTTTTGCTCGGGAGGTACATCGAGGTAAGTAAGGGGTAGGGGCTGTGCCCAGTAAGTAAGGCTCCCCTTTTTGGGGTGGACGAAGCCATCCCGAGTAACTTTCTCTTCACGTAGGCCCTTTTCTCCCTGTGTCGGTCTCTTCTCTCTTCTCTTTTCCTTCCATTGCTTTATTTATTTTTTTTCCTTCTTCCCACTTCCCCCTCCCCCCTCCTGCTCTTCCTTTCTTGGTCTGCAACCACGTGCTTCGAATCTGTGTATCTGGACTGCCTTCTCTCACAGTTCAGCGTGAGTGTTAGCAGAATGAAAACCAGATGGACCAGCAGTTCCCACTGTTATCTCCCAGCCGACTCTGGCAAGCCTCCCCCGATCCCTCCTTCCTTGGCATGACAGAAATATTTGCCTTTATTTAGGGAGACTTGTATTTGCTGCCGTACCTCTTCCCTCAGCTGCAACATAAGTGGAAAGCTATTTATTTATTCCCTTGTTGCTGAGGTTGGTTGAGGTGAGTAGACTGTGCAGTGATTTTAACTGTTGAAGAAGCAGTTTTAAACCTGCCTAACTTCTGTATTCTTCTAGAATAAGTGATTTATCTGATTCTGGGTGTTAAGTGCTCGGGAATTGCAATATGAAGATGAGTTTTGAACTGGAAGATAAAGGTAGAAATGCTCTCCATGGTGTGTTCTTACCATCATTTCCCTTAGAACACGTATTTACTGAAGGGACAGTTGTCGTTACTCAGCCAGCAGTCGAGATTATGAATTAGAGACCCAGCTACTAGGTTATCAAAATGCTGTTCTTAGGATGATTATATTTTCATTCTTTTATCACATTTTCCCTAATACAGTATCAACATTATTTCACCTTTAAAATGTTATGTTCTGTTGCTACCCAAGTCTTAATGAATCGGCTCTGAGTCAAGGTGTGAGCTAGGTTTGGAATTGCCATAGTAGTAATTTGGATTTTTCATTTTTAAAAAATAGACTTTTGAGTAATTTTTGAGAATTTCTCCCTATGGCTATCATAAGGTTTTAAAAGACTCATTCTTGATCAGTAGTCTGTGTTACTTTTCGGATAGTCCAAGTGGGAAATAACTGCTCCTGAGAGTGTAAGCGGCGTCTCAGACATTTTGGGGGTGTGTGTGCGCACGCGCACACAGGCACACAGTGTTTGTAGAAAATTGGATCTAAAGAAACAAACGAAACCCACTTTTTTTTTTGCTGGAGATTTGTCGCTTTAGTAAATAGATTTGACTGAGAAAAAAACAGCTCAAAATTTCAAAGGAAAAGTATACTTAGTAGAAAAGAATCCTGGAGCTCAAGTGTTCATTATTGGGTAATCAGGAAATTTCTCCGTATCTGTCACATACTCATGAAAAAATATAAGGAGGGCCTTTAGTTCTTTTTAGTTCTCGATTCAGGGGTTTGTCCATTTTTATGCTGCATGAGATTATTAATTGAAGTATTGGTCTCATGTTTTTAAAACGGTGGGTCGTAAACTCACAAATTCTGAGTAAATTAGTTTACCTTCATTGTGTAAAAGACAGCATTTATGTAGTGGTGATTTTTCAGACAGGGCAGAGCAACGTTGAAGTGAGAGGTGTATCTGGGAAACATAACCCGCTTCATCTAATAGGCCAGTAACTAAGCGTGCAAAGGGAATGGCAGGTGTTAACAAAAAAATCATTGCAAAATGCTGGCTCCTGTGAGTATCTCACCTGCATAACGGAGCTTCAGGTTTGTGTCGTTTCTGAGCTAAAGAGTTTATTACCATTCTACTTCCCCGTCTATTTTTTAGCTCTTGCTAATGTTGGCTTCAGCTTCCAGTGAGGTTGTGCTGTTGCATGTAACACTACCAAGGTAGCGTCTGCCCAAGTCAGAAATAACAATAGGATGTAAAATAGCCCAGTTACAAATGAGGTCCTGCCATCTGTGCCACCTTCTTAAGTGGGGTTTGGATGATAAAGTCCTGATGTAAACTTCAGTAGATAAGCCTGCTTTATTGATAGGAGACGTCAGATTTCTTCTGTTCACTTGCTTGTAAGAAAAGATGAACCCCACTTAAAAAACCAAAAAGACCCAAAAAACAAAAAAACAACGAAGGTGCTTAAGGAGTAGAATAACCTGTTCCTGGTGGCGTCCTCCAGATCGGACTGAGAAGCACTCCACGATGCCAGACTCACCTGTGGATGTGAAGACCCCGTCTAGGCTGACTCCTCCCACCATGCCGCCTCCCCCCACAACTCAAGGAGCTCCGAGAACCAGTTCATTTACACCGACGACCCGTGAGTAGGCATTGCTGCATGTCCTGTTTCCACTTTGAAGTCTAAATTTTTTTTTCCTGCAAATAAAAATTAAGGGAAAATAAGATCCAGCATCAGTGTGTTAGACAGAAGTGAAGCACCCCTCCCCCCCCGCCCCCACCAAATGGTTTAATGGCCAGGAAGTAGGTCTTGTGCCTGTACAGATGTATAGCATCTTCGGGATAGTTTGTATGACCGCCAGCATTTGCCTGCCTTTTCATTTTTGTCTCACAGTTGTAGTCTGCTTTCGTTTCCGCGGTGAAGAATACTGTGCATTAGTTTGGTTTGGGACTCCATCTGTTAATCACCATCACTTTTAGTTTGACTTAACGTGTAGCTCCTTATTTTAGTTTGTACGTTTTGACTTGGAACATGTTAATATCCTACAATTATTTCCAGGTTGCTTCTGCTCTTCTAATACCACTTTCTTCTGTTATTTACAAATAATATTAAAATCTAGTATCCTTAAGTTAGAAGGGGTATTGCTCTAGGCAACAGTCACATACAGAAAACTTTCTGAAATAAGGAGCATCTTTCTTGTCTTGAGCCTGTCAGACTTTTATTAAACCTTTACTCACTTCCAGCTCAGCTCCGGCCCTGTGTTCTGAATCAGTGGTGTGTATTGCTTTCTGTGTCATCCCAGGAAAGGACAGGACATTCTGACCGAACAGCAACTTCTCTTCCTGTCCTGTATATTCCAGTAGGGATAGTGGATAGCTCTGTCTCCAGTCATTCTCAGAATCCTGGTTAAAATTGTCCTAAAGGATTTGTGAAACTAAAAAATGCTATCGGTTGCAGATAATACTATTTACAGACCACGTGCCATGAAGCCTATATGAATGAAAAATAACTTAACGGGCAAAACCAGATAGATCCGTGGGATTATGAGGGATTGGCAAACACACAGCCCAGGCTGTTGATGCAGCGTTGCACTGCCATTCAAAAGACCTTCCCAAACGTGGAAGGGACAGGAGGCTGTGGTGGTGCCAACCTGTAACCCTGTCATCTTGTATTTGGTTTGTTGTTACCCGAAGCCACAGGGACATGCATGTGTCTCCCGTGAGAGGTCCTGGTGAGCAATCATTCCATGACGTGTTGCTTTGGCGCTCATTTGGGACAAGGGACCATTTCATTATCTTGAAACTTTTAAGAATAATAGAGGACTCAAGACATCTTCAACCACCGTTGGAGATAATCTGTCAAAACTATATTAAAAGATGGGTTCGATAAAGATGAGTTTGTCAAATTAGTTGATTTAATATGATAAAATCAGCATTTTCTTCAGTGAGAAATGTGCCAAATTTTCTAGTCTTGTCCTTAGGAATTATCTTGATGTTCAAATAAATTTTATTAGAAATGAGGTTATCAAATTACCACCAACCCATGCTATTAGTTGGAATGAGATGTCCCTTTTTGATTTCTTGAAATAACTCTCTGATAATTACCATATCCATTTGGCTTCTTATATAAAATTTGCATTTTCCCTAAAGAAGTGGTTAAGAAATACGAGGGGGAGAAAATAGCCTTCTAATTGGGTGGTATAAGGTTAAAACTTGAAAGTCCTATTTCTATAAACACAGCTGTCAGTTGTGTGTACAAAACATGATTAAAAATGTTCAGTGATAAATTTAGTCTCCACCAAATGTAGGCTTTCTCTAGGGGAACAGTTTAGAAAGGAATGGTCCCGTTATATTGATGTAAGCCTGTGACAAAAGGCTGACATCCCAACGCTGTTTGTTCTGAGTTTGAAGCATTTCAGGTGGTTGGCATATGTGCACATGGAGGTAGGGCTGACCCTGTGTTACAGCCGACTCCCATTTATTACCAGCTTCCGTGTAGAATACCCTCACGCATGGTGAGGAGTTAGACCCATTTAGTTACAGAGTACCCGAACAAAGCCCCAACAGTTGTTAAATCACAAAATCCACCAGATTTAAAGGGAATGAAGCTTGGTTATAATTTCTTTGTGCATATTCCCTGTAAATTTATTTATTTATTTTTCTTTCTGATTTTGTGCTCTTGACAGTAACTAATGGCACGAGCCATTCACCCACAGCCTTGAATGGCGCCCCCTCGCCGCCCAATGGCTTTAGCAATGGGCCCTCCTCTTCTTCCTCTTCTTCTCTGGCTAATCAACAGCTGCCCCCAGCCTGTGGCGCCAGGCAGCTCAGTAAGCTGAAACGGTTCCTTACTACCCTGCAGCAGTTTGGCAATGACATTTCTCCAGAGATAGGAGAAAGAGTTCGCACCCTCGTACTAGGACTGGTGGTAAGCAAATGGAAATGAGCCCAATTTTCTGGGGTAAGGGATAGTGTGTGTGGGAGATTCCAAATAGAGACTGTTCTCCCAGCTATTTTGTTCTAATATATTCTACACCTGGAGATTGCATGTAAATCTGAGAATTCTGAAGTAACAGGGTTCTCAAATGTGCATAATGTATGGACCCCCCCCCATGGTTTCTTTTATTATTTGACTAATAAAGATAGGGTTCTACAAATTTATTATTTTCTTAGCCATAAATGTGTGTGTGTGTGTGTGTGTGTGTGTAAAATTCCATAGGTATAATCTCTTGGCCTGACTAGTGGCTTTCCACAATGACAGTGTTTTTGTTATGTTAATGATTCACTTAATCTAATTGGGTGCTCATTTTGATGTGGTTGCTTTGAGAGATTTTTTATTATCAGTCTAGAAATGAACAAGGATTTATAACCAGGAATACATTCTTCTGTGTGTTTTCATTTTTGAGGCTAATAACATTTTTAAAAAACTTGTATTGTGGTAAAATATACATAACATAAAATTGACCATTATAACCATTTCTAAGTGGAGGGTTCAGGGGCATTAAGTACCTTCACATTGTTGTGCAGCCCTCACCACCATCTGTCTTCAGAACTTTTTCATCACCCCAAACTGTGTACCCATTCAACAATAACACCCCAATTTCCCCTCCCCCAGCCCCTGCTAACCAATTGTTTAAAAAAAAAAAATACTTTGTTATAGGTAGAATTACTTAAAACATTAGTTTGAAAACAGAAGTGTGGATTTTAGCACATGAGTCTATATTCTGTACAGTATCACACTAGAAATTAGAACATATATCATTTTTGGGGGGGTCCTAAATCACTTTTACACATACTGTGATTTTCTATATAAGTAGAGGATTTTTATTTAGGAAGGCAATTTTCCCATAGCAAACCCGAGTCATAGAGAAGCTGTGAGTCACATATTCAGCCCACATGGCTGAACTCAAATTCAGGTGACAGGGCCCAGTTTGCTTTCTCTTGAAATAGATCATTCATTTTTATGATGTGGCCGTATCATGAGCAAAGCCATAATACCAGTTGCCTTTTTTTGCAGAAGAAGCCCCAGAATTAAAGCCTGAGTGAGGGTCTAGTGCAGTAGACATAATTCTAATTGCAATAACTCACATTTGACAGAGAGTTCGCAATTCACTTTTTTAACTCGTACCTCCCTCCACTCTGCACTTTTTTCTTTTTTTTATTCTGTTATGTTAATCACCATACATTACATCATTAGTTTTTGATGTAGTGTTCCATGATTCATTGTTTGCATATAACACCCGGTGCTCCATTCGATACATGCCCTCTTTAATACCCATCACCAGGCTAACCCATCCCCCCACCCCCTCCCCTCTAGAACCCTCAGTTTGTTTTTCACAGTCCATAGTCCCTCATGGTTCGTCTCCCCCTCCGATTTCCCCCCCTTCATTCTTCCCTTCCTGCTATCTTCTTCTT